AGTCAATGCTCGATCCTGCAGACACAAATAGGCGAGTACACACACACACACACACACACACACACACACACACACACACACACACACACACACACACACACACACACACACACACACACACACACACGCACGCACGCGGGGGCTGGCTGGCTGAGTGGACAGCGCTCTAGACTCGCGGGCCTACGAACCGGGGTTCGATCCCCGCAGCCGGTGGAAAAACAAATGGGCAGAGTTTCCTTCACCCTGATGCCCCTGTTACCTAGCAGTAAATAGGTAATTGGGAGTTAGACAGCTGCTTCAGGCTGATTCCTGTACTCACCTATTTGTGCTTGCGTGGGTTGAGCTCTGGCTCTTTGGTCCCGCCTCTCAACTGTCAATCAGCCGGTATACAGATTCCTGAGCCTACTGGCCTCTATCATATCTACAATTAAAACTGTGTATGGAGTCAGCCTCCATCACATAACTGCCTAATGCATTCCATCTATTAACTAATCTGACACTGAAAAAGTTCTTTCTAACGTCCCTATGGCTCATTTGGGTACTCAGTTTCTATCCGTGTCCCCTTGTTCACGTACCACCTGTGTTGATTAGTTTATCCTTGTCTACCCTGTCAATTCCCCTGAGGATTTTGTAGGTAGTGATCATGTCTCCCCTTACTCTACTGTCTTCCAGTGTCGTAAGGTGCATTTCCCGCAGCCTTTCCTCGTAACTCATGCCTCTTAGTTCTGAGACTAGTCTAGTGGCATACCTCTGAACTTTTTCCAGCTTTGTCTTGTGTTTGACAAGGTACGGCTCCATGCTGGGGCTGCATACTGAAGGATTGGTCTTACATATGTGGTATACAAGATTCTGAAAGATTCCTTACACAGGTCCCTGAAGGCTGTTCTGATGTTAACCAGCCTCGCATATGCTGCAGACGTAATTCTTTTTATGTGGGCTTCAGGAGACAGATTTGGTGTGATATCAACTCCTAGATCTTTCTCTCTGTCCGTTTCATGAAGTACTTCATCTCCTATTCTATATCCTGTGTCTGGCCTCCTGTTTCTACCGCCTAGTTTCATTACTTTGCATTTACTCGGGTTGAATTTTAGCAGCCATTTGTTGGACCATTCATTCAGTCTGTCTAGGTCATCTTGTAGCCTTCTACTATCATCCTCTGTCTCAGTCCTCCTCATAATTTTTGCATCGTCAGCAAATATTGAGAGAAACGAGTCTATACCCTCTGGGAGATCATTTACATATATCAGAAATAGTATAGGTCCAAGGATTGACCCCTGCAGGACTCCACTTGTGACGTCTCACCAATCTAAAACCTCACACCTCACTGTGACTCGTTGTCTTCTGTTGCTTAGGTACTCCCTTATCCAATGGAGTATTTTCCCTTTCACTCCAGCCTGCATCTCCAGCTTTTTCACTAGCCTCTTGTGTGGTACTGCATTAAAGGCTTTCTGGCAATCCAAAAATATACAGTCTGCCCACCCTTCTCTTTCTTGTCTGATTTTTGTTGCCTGGTCGTAGAATTCAATTAACCCTGTGAGGCAGGACTTGCCATCCCTGAACCCATGTTGATGCTGTTACAAAGTTCTTTTGCTCCAGATGTTCCACTAGCTTTCTTCGCACAATCTTCTCCATCAGTTTGCATGGTATGCAGGTTAGGGACACTGACCTGTAGTTCAGTGCCTCCTGTCTTTCCCCTTTTGTTTGTTTGTTTGTTTGTTTGAGATATATACAAGAGTTATTACATTCTTGTACAGCCACTAGTACGCGTAGCGTTTCGGGCAAGTCCTTAATCCTATGGTCCCTGGAATACGATCCCCTGCCGCGAAGAATCGTTTTTTCATCCAAGTACACATTTTACTGTTGCGTTAAACAGAGGCTACAGTTAAGGAATTGCGCCCAGTAAATCCTCCCCGGCCAGGATACGAACCCATGACATAGCGCTCGCGGAACGCCAGGCGAGTGTCTTACCACTACACCACGGAGACTGCCCTTTCTTGTATATAGGGATTACATTAACTGCTTTCCAAATTTCTGGCAGTTCCCCTGTTGCCAGTGATTTGTTATACACTATGGTGAGTAGCAGGCACAGTGCTTCTGTTCCTTCCTTTAGTATCCAAGAGGAGATTCCATCGGAGCCTTTTGTCACATCCAACTCTAGTAACAACTTCCTTACTTCCCACTGATAATCTCAAACTCATCTAGTGGTTCCTGGTTAACTATTTCCTCTCTTATCTCTGGAATTTCTCCTTGCTCTAAGGTAAAGACCTCCTGGAATTTCTAATTCAGTTCCTCGGGGAGCCGGTCGGCCGAGCGGACAGCACGCTGGACTTATGATCCTGTGGACCTGGGTTCGATCCCAGGCGCCGGCGAGAAACAATGGGCAGAGTTTCTTTCACCCTATGCCCCTGTTACCTAGCAGTAAAATAGGTACCTGGGTGTTAGTCAGTTGTAACGGGCTGCTTCCTGGGGGTGGAGGCCTGTTCAAGGACCGGGCCGCGGGGACACTAAAAAAGCCCCAAAATCATCTCAAGAAATCATTTTTTATCATTTGAAATTATTTTTCTCATATGAACTCTTAACAAACTTCTATGAACATCATTTCCTCATAAGGAATCCTTAACAAACTTCTATGAAATTATTTTCATCATAAGAACTCTTAACAAACTTCTAAGATCTCAGAAATTATTTTCCCCATAATAAACCTTTAACTCCAAATTGGCCCCTTTTCCAAAGTTCGGTGAAACCGGTGTGCCATATCGGCCTCTTTTCCAAAGTTCGGTGAAAACGGTGTGCCATATCGGCCCTTTCCCCCCCACCCTCCCCCCAAAAAACGGGGCCCATACGCCGTGAATTCTTTTTCCACACATCAGGAGTTGTAGCTGATGTGTGGAAAAAGGTTAACATAGTTAACCGGACCTCGTAGCCTGGTGGATAGCGCGCAGGACTCGTAATTCTGTGGCGCGGGTTCAATTCCCGCACGAGGCAGAAACAAATGGGCAAAGTTTCTTTCACCCTGAATGCCCCTGTTACCTAGCAGTAAATAGGTACCTGGGAGTTAGTCAGCTGTCACGGGCTGCTTTCTGGGGGTAGAGGCCTGGTCGAGGACCGGGCCGCGGGGACACTAAAGCCCCGAAATCATCTCAAGATAACCTCAAGAAGATAACCTAGTTCCAATCTACAAAAGTGGAAGCAGGGAAGACCCCCCTTGATTATAGACCGGTATCATTGACAAGTGTAATAGTCAAAATATTGGAAAAAATAATTAAAACTAAATGGGTAGAACACCTGGAGAGAAATGATATAATATCAGACAGACAGTATGGTTTTCGATCTGGAAGATCCTGTGTATCGAATTTACTCAGTTTCTATGATCGAGCAACAGAGATATTACAGGAAAGAGATGGTTGGGTTGACTGCATCTATCTGAACCTAAAAAAAGACTTTCGACAGAGTTCCACATAAGAGGTTGTTCTGGAAACTGGAAAATATTGGAGGGGTGACAGGTAAGCTTCTAACATGGATGAAAAATTTTCTGACTGATAGAAAAATGAGGGCAGTGATCAGAGGCAATGTATTGGACTGGAGAAATGTCAGAAGTGGAGTACCACAGGGTTCAGTTCTTGCACCAGTGATGTTTATTGTCTACATAAATGATCTACCAGTTGGAATTTAATGGAATTTAATGTTAATAAATGCCATGTTATGGAATGTGGAATAGGAGAACATAGACCCCACACAACCTATATATTATGTGAGAAATCTTTTTTTATAATATGGAAGGGAGTACCACCTCTAGCTGGAAGAAGGGGGGCCCATAGCCTCGGAGGAAACCACGCATAACGCATTAGAGGGAATGTTTAGATCCCCTCCAATACAGTTTTTGTGTGCTTTTCTCTTACCACCCCCTTCCTTTTTTATTTTTTTGTGCTTTATTATGTATTTGATGGTTACAAGATATACATCGGTTGATACAAAAATAATAATACAAAAAGGTGCTTAAAGGTTATGGATCTCTTGAAAAACACAACAATGGGAATATATATATATATATATACTCTCTCTATATATATATATATATATATATATATATATATATATATATATATATATATATATATATATATATATATATATATATATATATATTTTTTTTTTTTTTCAGTATTAACTATTTTCTGATTTAGGGCTTCTATCCCTCTTACTAGTTTTCTTGCATCAGGGTTCAGCTGGAAGAGGCGTTCACCAAAAGTCATGTTTGTTTTCAAGGTGAAGAAAAAGAAGGGAATAACTGAATAATGTATTGCCCTTATTATAAAATCGCACGACGTTTCGAACCTACATGGTTCATTATCAAGTGATAAGAAATTACACTGTTGTTATAGATTCAGCTACTCGGAACAAGTTCCAAGTAGCACGGGCTATGGTGAGCCCGTAACTTACCTGGCACAGGAGCGGTGCTAAAAGAAATTACAAAACTCGGTAGATTTATACCAGTACAGGGTCAGGTGAAAACATAAGTGGAAAACGTGGGTAAATAGGGGTACATGATTAATCATTGTATGTGTCTCTATTTACCCCCGTTTTCCACTTATGTTTTCACCTGACCCCATACTGGTATAAATCTACTGAGTTTTATTTCTTTATGGAACCAACCCAATATCCTCAATAAAGGTAAGATATACATACTGTATTGTAGATAGTACAAAAAGAGTGCTATTCCGTATAAAATGTCTTTTTAAGTTAATATTTTTGGGGGCGTTGAACAGATTAATTCAATTTACATTATTTCTTATTGGAAAAATTGTTTTGAGTTACGACCCGTCTCTGGGAACAGATTAAATTCGCAAGTGAAGGTACCACTGTATGACAGTTTTTGGATGTGGGTAAGGGATATGTCAAAATGTGACATGTTAATAGGAGGACCATCAACAGAGACTCGTCCAGCGTCAATAGAGATCAGTAAATTATCAAAAGGCCAGAGGAATGTGGTGATGACTTACCTTATGGGTTAATGCAGCATGAGGCCAGCATTGAGGACCTGAAAAGCAAATGTTTGTTTACATACTGCCCAGCGACAACCACACACATTGGCGAGAAAATAAACCCAACAAAAACTCGTATAACATACTGTACTTGCATCTAGAGTCTACTTGCTTATATTTACCTGCATAGCCATGTTGTGGGGGAAAAACACTATGTGAAGTAAGTAATTATCAGAGCATACTCAGTATACATAACATACACACGAATAATACAAACAGCATACTCAAACACTATGTGAAGACTTCTATACCTGGAGTGTACCTGTTGCCGGTTCCTAGAGTTCACCCACTTTTGAAACATGGCCTGGGCCAAGGCTTCTGGTAACTTGACCTAATAGACTGTTGCTGGAAGCAGTCTGCAGGCTGACATATCCATTACATAGTGATGTGAACTATGTCAATTCAGTTATTAATGACGCTTCTATGGTAGATGACACGATAAAATCTAAATGGACGTCAGAACACTTATCTCACTATAACAAATATCCTAGAATATAATAAAATTACCCATGTAACCAAATATGAATATTCCTACCGCATTAAAGGCTGGACTATAAAATCAGTCATGACCAAGTAAGTGAGTAACAAATAATACAAACTGTTTGGTCAAATAATAATAATAATAATAATAATAATATTATATGTATAACACAATGAAGAGAATCTACCTCCCTGTAACGACTAAAGAAAAAGACCTCGGAGTGGACATGACACAAAACTAACTCCAGAGGCTCATATAAATAATAACAGCAGCATACTCTGCACTAGCAAAAGTTTTAACATCCTTCTGCAACCCAAATAAGGAGGCATATAGATCGATGTCTACACGAGACCAGCTTTAGAGTATGCCGCCCAATTGTGGAGCCCCACCTAAAAAAAAAATCTCGAGAAGGTTCAGACGTATGCGACGAGGTTCGTCCCAGAATTGAGAGGGATAGGGTATGGAGATATACTGAAGAATCTAAATCTGACGACGCTAGAAAAAGGGAAGACGGGATAAGAGACTTAAAATACTTAGGGGGTTTGACACAGTGAAAAAGAGAGGAAATGTTTACAATACCAATAGAACAAGAAGATGGTATGGATGGAAGCATGAGAATCAGATGGGTCATAGAGATGTTAGAAAGTTTTCTTTTAGTGTAAAGTGAAACTAACTTGTATCATGATATACACATAGTTTACTACATTATATCTTGCAATAATCCTCAAGTTATGCTAAAATGTACCTGTGGATAACCCTTAAATTTACTTTAATGTACTCACCTAGTTGTACTCACCTAGTTGTGTTTGCGGGGGTTGAGCTCTGGCTCTTTGGTCCCGCCTCTCAACCGTCAATCAACAGGTGTACAGATTCCTGAGCCTATCGGGCTCTGTCATATCTACACTTGAAACTGTGTATGGAGTGAGCCTCCACCACATCACCCCCTAATGCATTCCATTTGTCAACCACTCTGACACTAAAAAAGTTCTTTCTAATATCTCTGTGGCTCATTTGGGCACTCAGTTTCCACCTGTGTCCCCTTGTGCGTGTTCCCCTTGTGTTAAATAGACTGTCTTTATCTACCCTATCAATCCCCTTCAGAATCTTGAATGTGGTGATCATGTCCCCCCTAACTCTTCTGTCTTCCAGCGAAGTGAGGTTTAATTCCCGTAGTCTCTCCTCGTAGCTCATACCTCTCAGCTCGGGTACTAGTCTGGTGGCAAACCTTTGAACCTTTTCCAGTTTAGTCTTATCCTTGACTAGATATGGACTCCATGCTGGGGCTGCATACTCCAGGATTGGCCTGACATATGTGGTATACAAAGTTCTGAATGATTCTTTACACAAGTTTCTGAATGCCGTTCGTATGTTGGCCAGCCTGGCATATGCCGCTGATGTTATCCGCTTGATATGTGCTGCAGGAGACAGGTCTGGTGTGATATCAACCCCCAAGTCTTTTTCCTTCTCTGACTCCTGAAGAATTTCCTCTCCCAGATGATACCTTGTATCTGGCCTCCTGCTCCCTACACCTATCTTCATTACATTACATTTGGTTGGGTTAAACTCTAACAACCATTTGTTCGACCATTCCTTCAGCTTGTCTAGGTCTTCTTGAAGCCTCAAACAGTCCTCTTCTGTTTTAATCCTTCTCATAATTTTAGCATCGTCCGCAAACATTGAGAGAAATGAATCGATACCCTCCGGGAGATCATTTACATATATCAGAAACAAGATAGGACCGAGTACAGAGCCCTGTGGGACTCCACTGGTGACTTCACGCCAATCGGAGGTCTCACCCCTCACCGTAACTCTCTGCTTCCTATTGCTTAGATACTCCCTTATCCACTGGAGCACCTTACCAGCTACACCTGCCTGTCTCTCCAGCTTATGTACCAGCCTCTTATGCGGTACTGTGTCAAAGGCTTTCCGACAATCCAAGAAAATGCAGTCCGCCCAGCCCTCTCTTTCTTGCTTAATCTGTGTCACCTGATCGTAGAATTCTATCAAGCCTGTAAGGCAAGATTTACCCTCCCTGAATCCATGTTGGCGATTTGTCACGAAGTCCCTTCTCTCCAGATGTGTTACCAGGTTTTTTCTCACGATCTTCTCCATCACCTTGCATGGTATACAAGTCAAGGACACTGGCCAAATGTATATACTTTTTTGTGTCAAATTTCTTATACAACTATTTTTTATACTAATCTTACAATTCATTTTTATACCTTCTTACAATTTATTTTTATACTTTCTTACAATGTATTTTTATACTGTACTTTCTTACAATGTACCTATTAACATTTTTTTTTAATTTTGCTAGAAATGGTCTTCTTAAAATTATATGTTAGATTAAGGATCTTCCTGAAATGCTATGCATGCTAGTTAGTGGCTTTACAAGAATGTCAAACTTCAAGTCTCTGTACTCTCATAAACCCAATGTACCTTCTTGTATATAAATAAATAAATAAATCTGGATTACTGTATCCAAGCATCGAGACCCTATCTTCAGTAGGACATAGCTGCTCTGGAGAAAGTGCAACACTGGGCAACAAAAATAATTCCAGAGCTCGGTTAACTAACGTATCAGGAACAGTTGAGAGCCACAGGGCTAACAACACTAAAAACCAGGCATGACAGGGCAATTTTATTGAAGCTTTTAAAATACTAAACAATTTGGTGGATGTTGATCTGGAAAATTTCTTCAAAAGGTCATATGTAACACAAACAAGGGACAACGGTTTCAAACTCGGCAAGCCACAATGTGTGACTGAGAAGAGGAGAGTCTTTTTTTTTTACCTGCAGGGTTATAAACCCATGGAACCATCTGTTGAATTTCAAAATCAAACTGGACAAGATTATCAAGGCAAATGAGGGACCTTTGACAAGTTGCCAGTTTTCTGTCCTCATCAAGGCCACTAGTGTTAGTGGTCCTCAGGTAAATTTAGGTAAATAAATATACTTGTGCTGAAGATAAAGATAAATAAATATAAATAAATAAATAAATAAATATGTTTATTCAGGTAAGGTACATACATACTAATGATATTCCTAATGATTGCTAATGCTAATGATTGCTAATGATATTCCATCTTCCAGTACTGACATTAAGGACTATCTTACAGGGAACTATCCCCAGTCTCTGTACCTAAAGCCTATTAATTCCATTGACGTCAATGAGATAATCCTTTCCCTTAAAACCAAGTCTGGTGCCCTTGAGGAGATACCAACTTTAATCTACAAAAAAGCCTCCAGATCTTTAGCCCCCTGCTATTGCTTTGCTCTTCAACAAGTCACTTGAACTCCAAACCTTTCCAGATATTCTAAAAAAAGCGAGAGTAACGCCTGTCCACAAATGTGGTGATCTCACAGATGTTAACAACTACAGACCTATATCAATCCTGCCAAACTTGTCAAAAATTTTTGAAAAACTAATCTATAAGCAGCTTTACTCATATCTAGCCAAACTCAATATACTTAGCCCTTGCCAATATGGCTTCAGGCCCAAAAAAAGCACTAACGATGCACTTATTAGTATGCTTAACTCGATTCATACAGCTCTTGATAAAAATGAGTTCCCTGTTGGGTTATTTGTGGACCTGCGTAAAGCTTTCGATACTGTCAACCACCAAAACCTTCTTCTTAAATTACATCATTATGGTGTCAGAGGACACTCCCTACAATACCTCAAATCCTACCTTACTGACAGGCTCCAATGTGTTTCTGTGAATAATACAATTTCTCCCACCCTACCCATCAACATTGGTGTTCCCCAGGGCAGCATACTTGGCCCTCTCCTCTTTCTCATCTACATTAATGACCTTCCAAATGCCTCCCAACACCTCAAACCAATTCTATTTGCTGACGACACAACCTTCATTTACTCCAGTCCTGATCCCCTTGCTCTAAATGCCACAGTAAATACTGAGCTAAATAAAGTCCATCTGTGGCTAACTGCCAACAAACTCACCCTTAACATTGACAAAACTTTCTATATTCTGTTTGGCAATAAATCCTCTAATCAAATAAATCTCAAAATAAACAATACCCAAATTTGTAACAAATTAGATGGCAAATTCCTTGGCATTCTCATTGACCACAAGCTGAATTTCCAGGGACACATTCTAAACATATCAAAAAAAGTTTCAAAAACTGTGGGCATTCTTTCTAAGATCAGATATTATGTACCACGCCCTGCCCTGGTGACTCTCTATTACTCCCTTATCTATCCATATCTCAACTATGGTATTTGTGCTTGGGGCTCTACTACCCAAAATCACTTACGTCCTCTAATTACTCAACACAAAGCTGCTATTAGGACAATATCCAATTCTGGCCCCAGACATCACTCGGTACCCCTACTCAAATCTCTGAATATGTTAGACATTAAGTCACTGCACATTCTCTCATGTGTATTATACATATATAAAACGCTAAACTATAATGCCAATCCTGATCTCAAAAGCTTCATAGAAGGTTGTAACAGAACCCATGAGCACCACACCAGAAATAAATACAGTTTTGATATTCCTAGAGTACGACTTAATCAAACCAGAAATGCTCTACAAATCAAGGGGCCCAGAATGTGGAATGACCTTCCCAACCATGTTAAAGACTGTACCTCTCTCAACCAGTTTAAGTTAAAAACGAAGCTATACCTAATAAATTCCCTGTAACCTACCTTACCCCTCTATTGTCAACCCATGTATGTTTTTTGTTTGTTTTGTTTTTCAAATCAACGCTGTTTGAATGTAATTTTCTGTAATAATTTGTAATTGTATTTGTGCTGCTTTTTCAACAATGTTCCCCCCTCTTTTACCTCTATTTTTATTTGTACTCAACGCATTTTTTTCTTTTTACCCATTAGTTTTAAGCTTTAGTCATTAGTGTTTTTTCCTGCCCGAAACGCTTTGCGTAATTAGTGGCTTTAGGCATTGTATGTATGTATGTATGTATACAAGTGATGTTACATTAATGGATTGATATATAGATAGAGCTAGTACATACAATGCCTAAAGCCACTATTACGCAATGCGTTTCGGGCAAAATGATTATACCTGTACTGCTCTCAATGCCAGTTGGAGCTAAAATAAGAGTGAATTTGGGTTCATTGTTAGTTACATAAATATAATCAGTTGCCATCTACCAACACATATTGCTTTACTACAAGAACTTTTTAAGTGTCAGAGTAGTTAGCTGATTAAAGAACAAGCCTTGCTTCGACAAGAAGCAAAGTACAATGCCTTAAGCCAAATTGATGCTTTGGTCAGAGAGCACTCCCTTTCCCAGATTATTTACACTGATGGATCCTTGCATCAGTCCTATGGTGCAGCTGGAAGTGCAATTGTTGTGACAGGGAGAGATGGTTCCTTATCCCACGAGTGTGGAGTGCATCTAAGTAACTGGGCCTCTACTCTTCAAACAGAATTGGTTGCCATAATCCTTGCACTTGAGTGCGTATATGAATCCAAAGTTGACACGCTAATTGTAAGTGACTCCTTGTCATCCTTGACTGCCCTCAGCTCCCCAAGGCATAACTGTGACGTGCTTATCTCTGAAGCTAGACACAGATATAATGAAATAATCAATGATGGAGTCAGAGTCTGTCTCCTGTGGATTCCTTCCCATATTGGTCTCTGAAGGCATGATAGAACTGATGAGTTGGCCAAGACTTTTGCTCGTAAAGAGGGAATTGATTACCAACTTGGACTGCCTTTGAGCAGCCTGAGGGCAGTAATATTTCGGGAACATCAACTAAATTTCGGAGACTTGAGGCAAAGTGAAATTCACACCAGTTACTCCATCTATCATCATTCTATTATGCAGGAGGTACCGCACGTCTATGGGTCGTCCAATAAGGTTAGCAGACGTCTAGATGTTACCACTGCTAGGCTTAGGCTCGGCTACAAGTACTTCTGGGGAATTTGTAACAGCTGCTGATGTAGATTTGACTAAGTGTAAACTTTGTCAGCAGAACTATTCGCATACTTTGTGTCATTATATAATGGAATGTGAAAAAATCGTGAAATTTAGAGATAACACCACCAATAGTGTCCAAGAAATGTGTAAGTACTTCATTCATAATGATGTGCTGGTCGAAATCTTAGCAAAGTATCCAAAATTTGCTTATTGTAAGTAATGCATGCACATGACTGTAAAGCTGCCGCCCAGTTGGGTGGGTGTGCAGCAAGACTAGTAACTGTGTGACTCACTATAGATGTAAAGTGCCTTGTATAGTGACTGTTGTGAGCCTCTTGTTGAATCACTTGTGACACAAAAGATTATTGATGTGTGTAGGTGATTAAATATGTATGTGTATGTATATATGTATATGTATGTATATGTACATGTATGCATGTATGCATGTACATGTATATATAACATTAATAGTTTTGTAACTAACGTCAAAAGATTGATATTTGCTTAGCTAAACGAACTAGAGAGTTCAGTTCCTGAACCGATTATGTGCCTCTGTAATCCTTTAAACCACCGCCCACGGGATGGGTATGGGGTGCATAATAAAGAAATTGAGAGTAGTTAGTAGATGGAATGCACTAGGAAATGATATGGTGGAGGCAGACTTCATGCACAGTTTCAAATGTAGATATGATAGAGCCCAGTAGGCTCAGGAACCTGTACACCAGTTGATTGACAGTTGAGAGGCGGGACCAAAGAGACAAAGCTCAACCCCCGCAAGCACAAATATGTGAGTACAAGAAAATCTCTAAATAAGGCAATTTTCACAAAATGGGGCCAAACTCTACCTAATCAGTATATATGAAAGCCTATTAGTAAAACATAGTAGAATTAGGGAAGAGGAAAGACGTCACAGAGCTACTGAAAGTGTAAAGAGGTAGCAATCAAAATTTACATCTTGAACGAACCCACTTTTACAGGTTGCAGAGTCCGTAGTAGTGAACACCGCTTTTCACCTTTGAATGAATACCACTAAATGTGTTGATGAATACGTTCATAAAATTATATATACTTACTAAATTATCTGTTAAAACGTAGGTTTAATACATTGCTTCCACATAATCCACGGATTGTTTCACATTAGCCACAAAATCAATCACTCGTCTCAGAACACAACCTTCTCTATTGACATTGTGCAGAAACTAACCTGACGCGCAGCTTCTCTGCGCACATGTAATATTCTTATCCAATCCACTTTATTTACGGTAATCCTTAGAGGAATAGTATGCTACAAATCCAACCTGACCTCCAATATTTGCTTTCTAATAAGTAATTTAATGTTTGCTTTCAAAAATTATATTACCAGTTGTATATTACGGTGTCAATATATGTCAGGGATTAGTTTAGTTCATTTATTATGCACCCCATATCCATCTCGTGGGCGGTAGTAGAAAGAGTTAGTAGGCATACTTCAGCCTCGGGAGACTATGGAATTGCTATGGTTTATGACTATGGTTTCCAGGGCGCAAAGCCTGAGTAGGTCAGTATGGAGGAGAAGCTGTTACCCATGGAGCAGGTTTCCCCTCTCCACGTTGCTGAAATTATCCAATGGAAAGGCGACGCCAATATAATAGGTTAAGTAATAATTGTAATTAAGAAGCAATAAGATGCTTATCTTAACATACTAAGAAGGTTAGGTAAAGTCGGTGTTTTCTATGAAGCTTTTCAAGGTAAACTAAAATATTCACAATAAATTAGTATGTCACATATGCACTTATTTAATAAGTCAATATTGACTGTACGAAAGTGCGAGAACAGGTTGTGCCAATACACATAGTTCCAGCACCGTCGCAGGAGCTGCCAGATCGAGGTCGAAGTCAACAACGAACTGCCTTAGGGGTTCCAACTCTGGATTTTTCCTCGAGGTTGACTCCTGAAGCCTTTCCCAAAAGAGGAGTATGGCCGCAAGATAGCGGAAGTTTGAAATTAGAGGTTTCCTTCCCTTAAATGAGCTGCCTTCTCAGGCTATCGAGTCCCATCTGCCTGCAGCAGCTGGTTTTAAGGCGCCAGAGGCACGCCCTCGCCCCTTCTGTCAGTAAAAGCAGTTCCGCCGGACTTACAAACTAAGCCACCCATGCAGGCCAGGAGTTGGACTTAGTTGTCAGAGGCTATTTGAGACGCACGCCGCACGGGAGCTTTTTATAGGTAATGGGAGCTCGTCCCCCGTTACCACCCCCTGGCTAATTGAAATTGAAATTGAAATAAGTTTATTGAGGTTAAATACACACAAAGGGATGAGGTAGCTCAAGCTATTCTCGCCCCGTTCAGTACAATGTGTTCATACAAATATAGGCACACATTACAAACAATAAACATATTGCCGAACATTCTGAGAGATAAACATACAATTGCTTCTTTACACAAGTAGTATAGTACCCCCTGGGTATGACAACCTCTTGGAACCTTGGAAAGAGTTACAGAGGCACATATATAATGGGCTCAGGGACTGAACCTCACAATTCATTTAGCTAAGTAAGCCAATAAATCTAAGTAAACCTTACTGACAGGCTCCAATATGTTTCTGTGAATAATTCCATTTCTCCCACCCTACCCATAAACATTGGTGTTCCTCAGGGCAGCATACTTGGCCCTCTCCTCTTTCTCATCTACATTAATGACCTTCCAAATGCCTCCCAACACCTCAAACCAATTCTATTTGCTGACGACACAACCTTCATCTACTCCAGTCCTGACCCCCCTCGCTCTAAATGTCACATTGAATACTGAGCTAAATAAAGTCCATTTTTGGCAAACTGCCAACAAACTCACCCTCAACATTGACAAAACTTTCTATATTTTGTTTGGCAATAAATCCTCAAATCATTTAAATCTCAGGATAAACAATACCCAAATTTGTAACAAAGTAGATGGTAAATTCCTTAGCGTTCTCATTGACCACACGCTGAATTTCCAGGAACACATTCTAAATATATCAAAAAAAGTTTCATAAACTGTTGGCATTCTTTCTAAGATCAGATATTATGTACCTCGCCCTGCCCTGGTGACGCTCTATTACTCCCTCATCTATCCTTATCTCAACTATGGTATTTGTGCTTGGGGTTCTACTACCCAAAATCATTTACGTCCTCTAATTACTCAACACGAAGCTGCTATTAGGACAATATCCAACTCTGGCCCCAGACATCACTCGGTACCCCCTACTCAAATCTCTGAATATGTTAACATATTAAGTCACTGCACATCCTCTCATGTGTATTATATATATATATATATAAAACCCTGAACTGTAACGTCAATCCTGACCTTAATTAAAAGCTTCCTAGAAGGTTGTAACAGAACCCATGAACACCACACCACAAACAAATACCTATTTGATATTCCAAGAGTACGACTTAATCAAACTAGAAATGCTCTACAAATCAAGGGACCCAGAATGTGGAATGACCTTCCCAGTCATGTTAAAGACTGTATACCTCTCCCAATCAGTTTAAGATAAAAACTAAGCACTGCCTAATTAACTCCATGTAACCTACCTTCCCCTAAATGTCAACTCATGTCTGCTATTTTAAACAATGCTGTTAGTTTAGTTCATTTATTGTGCACCCCATACCCATCTTGTGGGCGGTAGTGGAAAGGGTTACAGAGGCACATAATGGGCTCAGAGGCTGAACCCCACAATTCATTTAGCTAAGCAAGTTACATTCTTGATGAGCTAGTTACAAAATTCAGTATAAGTCGTCACATCATCATTGGGTTCGAGATCGATCACAACTACATTACAGTTTCTAAATCGAGCAGCTGACATATATATATTTTTTTTTTTTTTTTTGAGATATATACAAGAGTTGTTACATTCATGTACAGCCACTAGTACGCGTAGCGTTTCGGGCAGGTCCCTGGAATACGATCCCCTGCCGCGAAGAATCGTTTTTTCATCCAAGTACACATTTTACTGTTGCGTTAAACAGAGGCTACAGTTAAGGAATTGCGCCCAGTAAATCCTCCCCGGCCAGGATACGAACCCATGACATAGCGCTCGCGGAACGCCAGGCGAGTGTCTTACCACTACACCACGGAGACTGTAAATAGCTTATATGAGGAGAGCTAGTGTCACAATTGACATGTTTGTCCTGCACACCGCCCCCCATCCAGTGGGCAGCGGTGAGTAGGTTACAATCACTTAGTTACTACCTGCAGTTAGCAAACTGGGGATATTTGGCTAAAATTTCTGGTAGCAGATAATTTTGAATGAAATATTTACACATCGTTGGAACATTCGTTATAGAATAATTGTCTCTGAATTCACGTATCTTTTCGCACTCCATCACATAGTGACGGAGGATGTGCGAATAATTTTGTTGACACAGTTTACATTTGGTCAGATAATTCTCATTATCTACATCGGCAGATAATGAGAATTCCCAGAGATACTTGTAACCGAGTCTAAGCCGATAAGTAGTAACATCATGACGTCTGCTGATTTTATTGGATGAACCATAGATGTGTGGCTCCTCTTGCATGATAGTATGATAATAGATGGAATTACTGGTGTCGATTTCACTTTGCCTCAGATCTACAAGATCTTGTTGAAGTTCTCGGTGTACTGCTGCTCACAGATTGCTCATTGACAATCCAAGGTTACACTCAACGTCTCCTTTAAAGGCAGATTCTTTAGCTAACTCATCATCTCTATCATGCATTCGGAGGTCAACATGGGATGGAGACCACATGAAATGGACTCTGTTACCATCATTAATAATTTTGTTGTATTTGTGTCTAGCTTCAGACACGAGCATGTTACAGTTATGTCATAAAGAGTTGAGACACATTCTTTAGAATTTTTTTTTTTATTGTATTGTATGGAACTTCTAGAACGTTCAAGTGGCTGCTACATTATTTGCAATGTAGTTCAAATTCAAGTATGTTTATTGAGACAAGAAAAAATACATCTCAAAGGGATATAGTAGCTTAATAGGCTATTTCTACCCCCCCCCCTTCCCTCTACTTCAAGTCCCTCAAGGGGTGCACAAATTCAGTGAGTACAAATACACAATATAAGAATCCCATTTAACATTGTAGGTTACTATAGTAAGCATAGCGTATAAGTGTTACACTTTTGGGGCAAAATTCTTGTAGCTCCTAAGTATACTAGCTGTCTATCATACCATTATCACACATCCAAACAATTTGATGTGGTACACTACTTATTTCCTTATTTCTATAGTTATCAATAAGTTGACACTCTAATACATAATGTTCTAAGGTGTGGGCGTGCGGCATACTTCATAATTTACACTCCTCATCTTTTTCACTGACATCAACACCGTATTGCCAGATATATTTGTATCCTAATCTTAATCTCATGTAAATTGAATCCTTCCAAGTAGACTTTCCTCTACCATAGGTGAAGGACGAATTTGTATTTATTATTGAATAATTCTTAAGTGTGTTACTTCTGTCCACCATTGCCATTCTCCTAACCATTTCTTCACCCTCTTGGGTCATCTTGATTCTTGTTATAATTCGTTTCAAGGTTATCTGACATACAACATCAACAAGAGTTTTTTCCCGTGGCTCTCTTCGCTATCTCATCAACTACCACACTTAACAGTATTCCCACATGTGAAGGGATTCACATGAATCTTACTTTATACCCATTTTTTCTAATTTCTTAACATTCTCTCTACCCTCTATCACAATATTCTGGTATGTAATGTAGTTAGAAATATTTCTAATGTAGTTGTCACAGTACACTGAGAGTATATTTTAGTCCTGGACTATGTTCGTTCAGGACTAAAATATACTTTCTGGTTAGACGGTATAACATTATGGTGGCTTTACTAGCCATCAAGTGGTCGAGAGACCAACACCAAACCTGCCGAGCCAGCAGAGGTGTCCGTGGTCGGAGCGTAAGCGACCAATCCAACAGTTAAGAGTTGTGCATCACTGTCGTGGTTGTCTGGAGTCTTCCTTACACACACACACACACATATCATAATGAGTGATGATGAGCTGCAGGCCATCCGCAACAAGAGGATGCAGGAACTGCAAGGTATGCAGGTAAGTTCATGAAGAATTTAAAGCAAAATAGTCATAATTTAATATTTTCGTCCTTGGCTTGGATAACTGCCAATTATGACAATAATAATATTTATTTACAAGAAGGTACAACGGGTATGGGAAATTACATAAGGTTGGTATTTTTACACACAAATCACAATAGCGTGATACATCAAATGAACAAATCCACCAGGGCCGTGATGAGGGTCCCAGACGTGCCTAGTCGACGGTGCCACGACATGGTTAAAAAAATTGGCAGAAATCACAACTGTTGTGATTTCTGTGTGTATTAAAGTAAGGGCAAAGAGGTAGAACATCTGGTTGACAGAGCCCGGGTGCATGAGGGAATTGTATAAAACCCCTGTATCTCGGAGAGGCTGCTGGACCCATGTGAGGGCAGAGCACTCCCTGTTGCAATTCTTTTGACCATATCGTGGCACAGTCGACTAAGGCACGTCTGGGGTCATCCCGGATGTAGATTCAAACCCTCATCATGGCCCTTGTGGATTTGTTCATTGGTATTTTTACATTCTCGCAAAACCACTAATACACAATGTTTTGGGCAAAATAGGATTTGTTTTTCTTATAATTTTTATTTCTCATCCTGTAGCTTATATTTATTGTTCTACTTATGTAATAAGAGAGGTATATTCCAAAAAGTATTGGTATGATTTGTACTTAAACCTGAAAATCATAAAACCTGCAGCAACGTTTTGGTATTTACATCTTTGGCGGGTAGTTAGTTTCTTTGGTTTATAACTATAGGTAAAAAAGAATCTCCTGTTTTTATTATCCTACATTGTGACTTGTTAAGCTTGAAGCCAATGCTCTTTGTCTGTGTTACATCTGACCATTTTAAAGTAAAAGTCTGGATCAATATCCTCCAAATTGTTCGGTATTTTAAAGATTTCAATGAAATCAGCCCTATCGGGTCTGGTTTGCAGCGTTGTTAACCCCTTTGGCCCTTTCATTGTGTATTACAATCTGTAGTAAACATATTTGCACTTGTTCTCATTCCAAAAAACTATCAAACATATGTCCTCATAACTATAGAGCCATTGCTGGGAATACAACACAACAAAATACAAATATAAATACAAATATTTTATTAAATATTTTATTAAATATTTTATTAAATATTTTATTAAATATTTTATTAAATATTTTATTAAATAATTTTATTAAATAATTTTATTTTATTAAACAATTATTTTATTAAACAATTATTTTATTAAACAATTATTTTATTAAACAATTATTTTATTAAACAATTATTTTATTAAACAATTATTTTATTAAACAATTAAATATTAAATTTATTAAACAATTATTAAACAATATTTTATTAAACAATTTGATTATATACTACTACTAATAATAATAATTTATTTAGGGATAGTACATACATAGATGTAGAATTACAGTACAAACATTGTTTGATTTATAGATAGAGGTCTTACATGCAATACCTAAAGCCACTAATACGCATAGTGTTTCGGGCAAGGTGAGGTGGGGATAAAAAACACTTAGACTAAAACTTAATAGTAATTGAGCTTAAAGTATAAATTGCGTTGAAAGAAAAAAAAAGATAAAAAAAAAAGGGGGGAACATGATAGAAAATAGCCAATATACAAGTTAGTCAACAAACAGCTTTGTTTAAAAAAATAGTAAGACATGGACACAAGACATTCATACGTCAGGCTGCGAGCAGCCGCGTCTAACAGCCTGGTTGATCAGTCCAGCAACCAGGAGGCCTGGTCGACGACCGGGCCGCGGGGACACTAAGCCCCGGAAGCACCTCAAGGTAACCTCAAGGTGGATTGACATTTAGAAGTAAGGTAGGTTACATGGAGTTAATTAGGTAGTACTTAGTTTTCATCTTAAACCGGTTGAGAGAGGTACAACCTTTGACATGATTGGGAAGGTCATTTCACATTCTGGGTCCCTTGATTTGTAGAGCATTCCTAGTTTGATTAAGTCGTACTCTTGAATATCAAATAGGTCTTTGTTTGTGGTGTGGTGCCCATGAGTTCTGTTACAACCTTCTAGGAAGCTTTTAAGGTCAGGATTGACATTACAATTCAGAGTTTTAATTATATAGAGTACACAAGAGAGGATGTGCAGTGACTTAATATCTAACATATTCAGAGATTTGAGTAAGGGTACCAAGTGATGTCTGGGGCCAGAGTTAGATATTGTTCTAATAGCAGCTTTGTGTTGGGTAATTAGAGGACGTAACTGATTTTGGGTAGTAGAACCCCAAGCACAAATACCATAGTTGAGATAAGGATAGATGAGAGAGTAATAGAGCGTCACTAGGGCAGGGCGAGGTACATATCTGATCTTGGAAAGAATGCCAACAGTTTTAAAAACATTTTTTGCTATACTGTATTTAGAATGTGTCCCTGGAAATTCAACTTGTTATCGATTAGGACACCAAGGAATTTACCATCAACTTTACTACTGATTTGTTTATTGTTTATTCTTAGATTAATTTCATTTGAGGATTTATTACCAAACAAAATATAGAAAGTTTTGTCAATGTTAGGGGTGAGTTTGTTAGTAGTTAGCCAAAGATGGACTTTATTTAGTTCAGTATTTACAGTGACATTTAGAGCAAGAGGGTCAGGACTGGAGAAAATGAAAGTTGTGTCATCAGCAAATACGATTGGTTTGAGATGTTGAGAGGCATTTGGAAGGTCATTAATGTAGATGAGAAAGAGGAGAGGGCCAAGTATGCTGCCCTGTGGAATACCAATGTTTATAGGTAGTGTTGGAGAAATGGAATTATTCACAGAAACATACTGGAGCCTGTCAGTAAGGTAGGACTGAAGGTATTGCAGGGAGTGATCTCTGATTCCATAATGATGTAATTCAGCACTCTGTCCGCTATCATCCCGATTGTTTCATCCACAGGTACGTTGGTAAACAGTGATTCTACGTCCAACAAGGTTCTTATCCCTGTGGCCCCGTGTTCCCTGCAGTAAGTCAACAAATTCCTTTGGAGACTTTAGGCTGAAGGCGCAAGGGACATAAGGAGTCAGCAAGCCGTTGAGTCGTTTCGCCAGTCTGTACGTGGGTGTGGGTATCTGGCTGATGATTGGCCGAAGTGGGTTTCCAGGCTTATGTGTCTTGACATTTCCATACGCGTATCCAGGTTTATATTCCCCAATAATCTTTGGCAGGTGGAGTCTGGATTTCTTGGCTTTCACAGTTTCGATCAATTTGTTGACCTTTGCTTTCAATTTGGCTGTAGTGTCCTTCGTTTCCCTTTGGAATTTAGTTTGGTCAGAGAGTATGAGGTTCATTTTCGCCAGATATTCGTCTTTTTTAAGAATGACGTATATTGGCGACTTGTCACCTCTCCTGACAACTATTTCCTTGTTCTCACGAAGGCTCTTAGCTGCCGCTTTGAGCTCGGGGGACAGTATGGTGCTTCTGTATGGTGACAGGTCGCCATGCTTCTCCAATGGTTTCATTGAAGACATCATAAGAAGGAAAATGAAACGCCATGCAACCTCTGAAGAGACAACTAACACAACACCTATACCCCCTATTAGACGATTTTACAGGAACTTCTTTTCCACAGCTCATAAAACGGAGGAAAGGGTCCTGAAAGATATTGTTAATAGAAACGTTATCCCTACAGACAAAAATCAGAAGATACAACTAACAATTTACTATAAAACCAAAAAAACGGCCAGCCTACTCATGAGAAACTCTCCAGACACAAAGCAGAACGCTTTAAAAAGAGACCAACGTCGTCTATGCCTTCAAAGCTCTTGGGGACTGTAAGCCTCAAAAAACTCAGCATATAGGCAAGACAACAACAACTCTTTCCAGGCGATTAACGATACATAAGCAACAGGGCTCCATTAAGGAACATATAATCTCTTCCCACAACCAAACCATCACCAGAGAAATCTTAGCAAACAACACAGAAATCATCGATAGATACAGCGATAGCAGGCGGCTTGACATCTGCGACTTCTTGACACATCAAGAAGTCAACACCAGCAATCAACAGCCAATTAATGCACAACTATATTCTACCCACTTCAAGACTCCGCTCCAATATAGAAGCATCAAGAAATATGGGCCAATAGGCCCTCTGCAATTACTTCCATTCTTACCTCCAATACCCATTGTTTCGTGTTCTATCCTGTGTTGAAAGTTTTGTTCACCTCATCCAAAACTGTTGTAACATATCACCTCACCCAAAATGCGGGTATAAAATGAAAAATGAAAGCTGTTTAAATCATAGCATAAGTAAGAACTCTGTTTAGTGTTTGCAGGTAATAGTTGTGTGTGTGTGTAAACTAAAAGTCTTTGAAAATGTAATAAGTTATTACGAAACGCGTTCGAGTGTCGCGTCAGACTAGAAATAAAAATGAATTTTGGAGAATTTTTTCAATTACCATCAACAGTGAAAAGAAACATAAGAAAGATCGAGAAAATTCGTGTTAGAATTATTAATCTTACTTTTTCGGTCATATTTAATAATATATGTCTACTTGAGACTGCTACCAAAATATACTAATAATAAAATATATATATAAACGTGTTTATATAGTGTAATAACACCACAAACAGTATATTTGGAGAAGGAATATTATTGCGTCTGGCCTTGAATCAGTGAGGGAGGGAGGGAGCATCAGCTGTGTGTGGCGACCTGTGTTGGTCTGAACTCGCCATACCTGCTTAGTTGCAGTTATGGTGAACAAAACATATAGATACTTATATATAACGTCTGTATATAGTGAATAAAAGCAAAAACAGTATGATGGGAGGAGGATGTTGATGAGTGAGGTGTTGTTGAGGGAGGAGTGGTGGCTGGCTGGCTGGTGTGGCAGCCACTCCTCATTACTTTTTGACTCGCAATACAGTACCAACTTAGTGGTTTGTTATGATGAACAAAACATGCAGATACTTATATATAACCTGTGTATATTGTGTAATACCCCAAAACTATGTTTATTGTTTTATGAACATAATAATTGAATCACTAATATGCTCACAATACTTTTGAGTATAGCGATGGTTCACACATTGACATTTATTTGTCACATGAATCCCCTGCATAGCAGTGGAACTGCCTTTACATACAGAAATCACAATAGCGTGATGCATCAAATGAACAAATCCACAAGGGCTGTGACGAGGGTTCGAACCTACGTCCGAGAGGATCCCAGACGCTGCCTTAATTGACTGAGCTATGACATGGTTAAAAGAATTGCAACCAGAAATTCTGCCCTTACTTGAATCCTGCAGGCTCTGGATTTCATATTGGATTTCAATCCAATATTTTCATATTGGATTTCAAAAACATCAATTTCATATTGATGTTTTTCGGGGTGGAATGGATTAAATGTATTTCCATTATTTTAAATAGGGAAATTTGTTTCGCAAGATGAATGTTTCACGTGAAGAGCTTGGTTGCTGGAACGGATTAAATTCGTTAACCAAGGTTCCTCTGTATTTGTTAAATCTAGTAACTTGCATTGCAGGGCCAACAGCAGAAGCAAGAGATGATTCAGCAGCAGCAGCAGGCAATCAATGGTCTTCTAAACCAGGTTTTGGATCAGCAAGCAAGAGCAAGATGTATGTATACAGTATTTGTGTTGAATTTATCTTTACCTAGTGTTAAAATAACTAAGGGATGAAGATGAGTTTTCTGAAATTTCTGGCTGTTTCTCGTTCACAGTAAATTTAAGTCGGTTGAGTTTTGTTGGGTTCCCAGCCATATTGGTGTGTCTTTAAATGAGCGTGTGGATGCTGCCGCCAAGGAAGCTGTCCGCTCTTGTCCCATCTCTCGTAAGGGCATTCCGTATTCCGACTTTTACCCGGTTATCCATTCCTCAGTCCTTACCCGTTGGCAGGCTTCTTGGTTGTCTGTTACTGGTAACAAGCTACGTACTCTTAAATGTTGTGTTTCCTCGTGGCAGTCCTCCTTCCACCGTAACCGGCGGTGGGAAACAGCTCTGGCGAGGTTGCGTATTGGCCATACTCGCTTAACCCATGGTCACTTGATGGAGCGCCGCCCTGCTCCTTATTGTCCTAGTTGCATTGTCCCTCTTACGGTCATGCATGTCCTTCTTGAATGTCCTGACTTCCAGGACGAGCGTGTGTCTTGCTTTCCGACCGCCCCTCGCGGTCACCTGTCCCTCGATGGAATTCTTGGTGACTCGGATACTTTTGATATCGTTCGCCTTATGCGTTTTTGTTCTCGTATTGGCATCCTTGGTGATATTTAGCACCCTCTGATTATTTTGCGTATTTGATGGTGCTACATAGCCTTCCCGGTTTGGTGCCTTCTTTTGATAATTACTTACTTCTGAAATTTCTAAAGCTGGATTTCAATTATGTTTGACATCATTCTATGCAGTTAAATAGACCACATTAAATTCTACATAATATACACAGTTCAATTAGAATTCTATACTAGTTTCCCTAGGGTTTTCTTTTTTGTGACACTAAATACAGTACTTTACAATCTCTTTCTGGTGATGACTCAAAAGGCTGGTGCATAATATATAGCACAGTATTCTTGTAGTCATTTTAATTCTCTATTTTGATATTCCATGTTCTGTATAGTCTTTTAAAAGACTTTATAAAACTAATAGAAATACACTGAATTAATTTCAGTAACCTTTAAATCGTATAAATTGTGAACCATTGATTTCATTTTGCTAGCATGTGACTTTATTATAAAATCTACTTTTGTCACTTCATGAATATCTTTAATTGCTACCAAGATCCTGCTTTATTTTGTAGGTAAGCTCTTTGAGTTTTGATTTTATGTTGGACAAATGCATGTGGTTCCTTGCTTTAATCTGAATCATTAAAATGCCTAAAAATTTGTGTTCAAATCTGTATTGTTGGAAAATGAAGAGCCTTATTAGTTTCGAGCCAGACCAGCTTTACTCTTAAAGTTGGACTAAAAGTTTTGACTTCTCGCATCTGTAGGAAAGTTTAAGTATCAAGTTTTTAGCTTGATAACCCGTAGTGGAATCTTTTCTCGAGAGAGGCAATGGGCATCAGAACGAAATGGAAAGTCATGGTGATATGATCCACCTCTTTACACATCTTATGGAAAATGCACAAGTTAAAAGCCCTATCCTGGATGAACTTTACAATTTGAATTGAGAAATGGTTAAACCAATCAGGGGTCACATTTCTTGGATTTTTGTTTTTTAACAAACAGTACTTAACATTACTGTATTTTCTAAATTAGTGGTAGTTGACAGGACATTACAAAGGAAAAATCCCTTCTAGAATGTTATCTTCTCCTTTGTATCTTACAAAAACCAGAAGTTAAAGGTCATTTGTAATTATAGATTCATTCACCGGAAGAAACAACAAATCCTGCCAAACTTTTGGCCTTGTATGTTTGCAAATATAAATGATATTCCTTATTGTGTGTGTCCCCGCTGTCAGTCGGGGCGCCTGACAGCTGGGTGGACAGCGCTTCGTATTCGTAGTCCTGAGGTTCCGGGTTCGATCCCCTGTGGAGGTGGAGACAAATGGGCAAAATGTTTCTTTCACCCTGATGCCCCTGTTACCTAGCAGTAAATAGGTACCTGGGAGTTACAGTTGCTACGGGCTGCTTCCTGGGGGTGGAGGCCTGATCGAGGACCAGGCCGCGGGGACACTAAGCCCCGAAATCATCTCAAGATAACTTTAAGATAACATCGGGTGGGTTTGGGTAGTTCTTCCGCTGATCCAGGATGTTCTGTTTAGGCAATGGTTCATTCAGTTTTGGTAGGGATACTAGTGCTGTGGAGTGTAGTAGTTTCTGTGGGGTTGGGGAGTGTAGTATAAGTGTGCCTGATGACGAATTGTAGTCTAGTCCTGTACATTTCTCCCTTCCCATTTGTGCTCCTGCAATGTTTGTCTGCCTCTTCCTCTCTCACATGTATGTTCTATTTGGTTTCTGCTTGCCCCTAAAAAATTTCCAGAGTTATTATGCTGTACCTCCTCTCATCTATAGCACCGTATAATTTTCGCGTGGAAATTTGGACATTGAAGAGCTTGGCCACACACAGTCAGAAGACATCGCCACCACCTTCCCTCCCACAGCATTACTCCTCCCTCCATGGCGCACAGCGCTAAATATCACCACAATCCTGCTATTATCAGAACCCTGGTCAGTTTTATCACAGTCAGGGGTCTTCTGTAATAATATCATCGCTACATAATAGCATGAACAAATATATTTCAGCATTTTTAGGCGATGCTGTGGTCAAAAGCTGAACAGCAGTGCTGTTAGCTCATGCTGCTTGCGTCAGGCTTGGTTGCTCACTCAATACTGAAGCCAATAACACCTGGGAGTTTGGCCCACGATTTTTTAAAAAATGGCGTCTGTTTACAAGAGCCCTGATGAAGGTGTGGTAAACCCCGTGTATCCGCGGGTCGTTTAAATCTTGCGTGGTACTCCAACACATCATATGACGTGATGCGCAGTTGACTGGAACAACGTCCAACACGTCATATGACGTGATGCGCACTTTAATGATTAAAGACCATAATAAAACAGCTATAACAACTGCAAAGAAAACGAACGAAAGATGCCATACCAATTATACAGACACCACTGCTCTCTAGGGTACACTGGTGTGTCTAGGGTGCTGAGACGCCAGTGTACTACCCTACCAATATGCTACTTTACCTTACCTCAAGGTAAGGTAAGGTAGGGTAAGGTGGCATATTGTTGCTCAATAATAGCCCCATTTAAAGCTGGAGAAATTTCTGACCTAGAGAATGTGCAAAGATCTTTTACTGCCCAAATCCACTCAATAAAACATCACTATTTTGGGGACCGTTTAAAATTTTTAAACCTGTGTTCTTTAGAGCACAGGCAAGAGAGACTTAATTTACACTTGGAACATATTAGAGGGACTGGTTCCAAATCGGCACACAAATAACTCCACAAGAAACCAGTAGGCATGGCAAAATGTACAAAATAACCCTGTTAAAAAGCAAAGGTGCAATAGGCAAACTGGCAGAACTTTTATCAACATCAAGGGCCCAAAACTATTCAACTCTCTCCTTCTACATATAAAGAGCACAACTGGCTGACCTCTCATGGTGTTCAAGAGAGAACTTTATGAACACCTCTAAAGGATAGCTGACCAACCAGGCTGTAAATCATTCGTCAGACTATAAGCAGCTGCATCCAACAGCTCGGTTGGCCAGACCATCAACCAGGAACATCTATCTGATCACAAATGTCATAGCATTAATGCAAACACTCAAACGACAGGGCCAACGGGTACTTGTCAACTGGGTGCCAAGTCATGTGGGAATAACAGGAAATGACATTGCAGATGAAGCTGCAAAACTTGCAACTATGAGAGGAAATGTAGACATTTACATACCACAGAGTCTATCACAGATTAACCCTTAAACTGCGCATGGCGTATATATACGCCCTGAGTAACATGTCCCATGGTGCGCATGGCGTATATATACGCCATAGGGTGCCAGGCCTGATTCAAATGGCCCGCGGCTACACGGGGTTCACAGTAGCTTCCTCAGGGCTCTTGTAAACAGATGCCATTTAAAAAAAAAATCGTGGGCAATATTCTCAGGTGTGAGAGGCACAGTACTGTTGGAGCAACCAAGGCCGGCGCACGCAGCATGAGCGAACAGCATTGCTGTTCAGCTTGTGACCACAGCATTGCCGAAAAATGTCAAAATAAATATATAATTGTTATTATTTAGCGATGACAGTATTACAGATGACCCATGACTGTGATATAAATAACCAGGGTTGTGATAATAGCAGGATTGTTGTAATAATTAGCGCTGTGGGAGGAGTGATGCTGAGAGACGGAGGGAGACAGCATCGTTTACTGACTGTGTGGCTAGCTGTTATTGTTTGCATTCACCATACCAGGTCAGTGGTTCTCTATGGTGAACACAAATGTAGATACTTATATATAATGTGTGTATTAGTGTAATAACAGCAAAAGGATTATGCTGGGAGGAGCCATATGGGTGACGAAGGTGACGTCGTCTGCACGATTTGTCTAGCTGTTTAGAGGGTGGCCACTATGCTCTTTGGGCGCACTATAAGCTTAGGTGTACAGTTACGGTGCATAAACATGTAGATATTTATATATAATATGTGTACATAGGGTAATAACACTGCAAAAGGTATTGTTGGGGGAGAAAGTTTAGTGCGTGTGACCTTGAAAGAGTGAGGGAGCCGCCAGCCGCCATCTGTGTATAGTGACGACTCTTAGTGCCTGAACTAACTATATCAGCTTAGCTGTACAGTTGTGGTGAACAAAATATATACATACTTATATATAACGTCTGTATATAGTGTAATAACACCACAACTGGTATTGTTGGGGGAGAAAGTTTAGTGCGTGTGTTGAGGGAGTGGCAGCGAGTGGCTGGCTGGTGTGTGGAGGTAACTCTTCGTTGCTTTTCGACTCTCAATACCAACTTAGTGGTTCGTTATGGTGACCAAAACATGCAGATACTTATATATAACTTGTGTATAGAGTGTAATAGCAGCAAAACTATTTGTTTATTGTTTTATAAACATAATAATTGAATCACTAATATGCACATCATACTTTTGAGTATAGCGATTATTCACCACTTTTATTATATAAATATATTACAATACACACTATTGAATAATATTACTGCAAAAAACTAAAAAAAAATCAATCGGAGACATTGAAACAATTAGGTAATAATATCTTTGTGGCAACTCCCATCTGTCAGCGCGGGTGACGCTGACCGGGTCTGACAACCACTCTGTCAACGCCCACTTTTTGCCAGACTTCCTCCGTCAATTGCGCCCAAAATATGTCACCTACGATTTTTTTTTTATTTTTCCCGTGCTCAGTGGACACAAATTAACATGTTTAGAAGATGAAAAAAAATTTTTGAATTTTTTTTTTTCTTGCGCACAGGGGTGTAAATGTCCCAAGGACCCCTGAGCAGTGTAAGGGTTAAGACAGTAATTAGAAACAGAGCAATGCAAAAGATGTACAGTGACCACAACACAGCAGTTGCAACATCAGGATCTGTGGGTTGGTACAAGAATTCGACCAACTACGAACCATTTAGTTTGATGAAAGGGAGCAGTAGAACAACAGAAGTACACTTACATCGCATCAGGCTTGGATACCCATGTGAATGGGAAATAGGCTTACAGGTTCCGGAAGATGAGAGGAAATGTCAGCACTGTGGAGAAATGCCCGACAGACCACTGGAACATTATCAAACACAGTGCACAGTTACAAACCCATTAAGATTTCAACTTAGATTCAACAGATCAGAAGAAGTTGTTAAACACATGGGACAAAATCTTACTGAAGCGACCATACGAGTTATAAGTACTAGTACTCACATACTCCACCCAAGTAAAACAGAAACAAGCAACACTTAGTGGCTTGTTTCTGGGCTTAGGGCCCATGCAAGAATATCCCTAAAAAAAAAAAAGGTTGTCTGGTCAGAAACCGGGCCTTAGGGATGTTGATCCCCAGAACCAACAGGAGGAAGAATAAATAGGAGTTAAGTGTATCTTCATTTTATTATTTTGAAAACTAACAATTATAATTTTACAAAAATGCTTAATCTTGCATTCACATTTTTTGGCAATCATATTTTAAAGCAATACTGTAATCCTAAATTACTATGGATGCTTGATAATACAGTATGCCGCCTCCTCTATATACATATTAATGCAGTATCTTACTTTTTTCAACAGTAAATACTATTATGGTGGCAAAGCCAGAGAAAGGAAAACAAATGGAATCTGTTATTGTTCAGATGGCAACTTCAGGACAGATCGGTAGCAGGCTGTCAGAAAATGATCTCATTAGTCTAGTGGAAAGAGTCAATGCTCAAACTCAAAAAACTACTACAGTCAAGGTTAGTTAACAATTGTATTGCTACTTTTATAGGAATTTCCAATAATTATTTTTTTTTTGTACTCCAACATTTCAAGTATTTGTCACCTTTGACCTTATAAATAAAATACACATATTGTGCAATAGAAATATGGCTGCAATTAAACCCAAGGCCTCCTTCCCCCCATATATATATGTATGTATGTATGTATATGTATGTGGAAAATCCACAAAGATATTGGAACAGAAGATGAAAGTTTCGGCTGTTTTACAGCTGTTGTCAACACCAGACTGATGTCTGGTGTTGACATCGGCTGTAAAACGGCCGAAACGTTTATGTTTCTTTCCAATTTTTTGTGGATTTTCCGCATACAAATGATCAGTATTTTGTGATCGTCAATTGCATGTATATATACAGTGGTACCTCGGAATGCGAGTGTCCCTGTATGCGAGGTTTTCGGAAGACGAGCAGTATTTACTCCAAAAATTTGTCTCGGAAGGCGAGGGTTACTTCGGGACGCGAGTTTGTTGATACGCGTACAGGCCGACCTAGCGCGTGGTGGTTCGGCGATCGTTGCCCCTCTGCCCCGCCGCCCCTCAGTTTACCATTGTCTCGCGCTCGGTGACTACCCCCACATCAATTCTTCTCGCGGATTTTCAGTGTTTTGTTGGATTTTTGGTGATTTGTCTATACAATTTGTTATTATATATCTCACCATGGGTCCCAAGAAAGCCAGTGGTAAGGATAAAGGCCAGAAAGCTCATGTGAGGATGACAATAGAGGAGAAACAAGAGATCATTCGGAAGCATGAGAACGGTACACGTGTTGTTGAACTTTGTAGGCAGTACAACAAAGCCACATCAACAATATGCACTATACTTAAGAAGAAAAATAAGATTATGGGTGCTAAAGTGGCAAAAGGAGTAAGAACATTAACGGCACAAAGACCACAAATACTTGAAGAAGTGGAAAAGTTGTTATTAATTTGGATACACGACAAGGAGTTGAGGGGTGATATTGTTTCGGAGGCCATTATTTGTGAGAAAGCAAGGGTATTGCATGAAGACCTTCTAAAGAAAACCCCTGCAACGAGCGATGCAGATACGAAAGAGTTTAAGGCAAGCAGGGGCTGGTTTGAAAAATTTAGAAAGAGAAGTGGTATCCATAGTGTTACAAGGCATGGGGAGGCAGCCAGCTCAGACAAACCAGCCGCTGGACGATTTATTGACGAATTTAAAGAGTTTGCAGAGGCTGAGGGATACCTACCGCAACAAGTGTTTAATTGTGACGAAACAGGACTGTTTTGGAAAAGAATGCCTAAGAGGACATACATTACCAAGGAGGAAAAATCCTTGCCTGGACACAAGCCTATGAAAGATAGGTTTACGCTTGTGCTGTGTGGAAATGCGAGTGGCGATTTGAAAATTAAACCCTTGCTAGTGTATCATTCTGAAAATCCAAGGGTTTTCAAACTGTATAATGTGCAAAAAACCCATTTGTGTGTGATGTGGAAGTCTAATAAAAAAGCATGGGTGACTAGGCTTATTTTTTCGGAGTGGGTGAATGAAGTGCTGTGCCCTGCCATAGAAAAATATCTGCAGGAGAAACAATTGCCACTCAAAGCCGTGCTTCTCCTTGACAATGCTCCTGCTCATCCTCCAGGCTTGGAAGATGATTTGTTGCCTAGATACAATAAATTCCTCACAGTTAAATTCCTTCCTCCTAACACCACCACTCTAATTCAGCCTATGGACCAGAAAATCATAGCGAATTTTAAGAAACTTTATGAAAGGGCACTTTTCCGGAAATGTTTTGAAGTGACTGAAGCCACAAACCTCACCCTCAAAGAGTTCTGGAGAGAGCATTTTAACATTTGTAGTGCTTTAAAACTCATTGACAAAGCCTGGCAAGAAGTGACTCAAAGAACCCTGATCTCTGGCTGGAGAAAATTGTGGCCTGAAGGTGTGAGAGAACTAGACTTTGAGGGGTTTGAGCCTATAAATGATGCGCCTATTGTTGAGGAAATTGTTAGTCTAGGCCAGCAAATGGGCTTGGAATTGGATGGTGATGATGTGGAGGAGTTGGTGGAAGAACACAACGAAGAACTGACCACCGAAGAACTCCTAGCCCTTCAACAGGAACAGCAAGCCAACGCAGCAGCGAATGATTCTGCAGTGGAGGAGGAGGTGGCAGCAGCACCAGCGAATGTCCCTTCTGCAGTAATTAAGGTGTGTCAGATGTGGGAAGAGATTCAAACAACTATTGAACAGACTCACCCAGAGAAAGCTGTAGTAGGCCGTTGTCTTAATCTTTTCAATGACAATGTGATGCCTTACTACAGAGACAGCTTGCGAAGAAGGGAAAAGCAAGCTTCCATGGACAGATTTGTGGTGAGGAAATCGAGCAGTGAGCCTCAACCAGGACCTAGTGGCACTCAGGTAAAACGTCCCAGGGAGAGCACACCAGAAAGGTCCTCACTGCCTGATGTGATTATGGAAGGGGACTCCCCTTCCAAACAGTAACTCCTCTCCTCCTCCCCCCTCCTCACCATCTTCCATACACCTACAGCACTCGACAGCAAGGTAAGTAATAACTGGAACATAGTTTTGTAGGTTTATTTAGATGAATTAGGTAAATTAGGTATAAAAATTTAGTTTGATGTGGGGTTTTTGGGGTAGTCAGGAACGGATTAATTCATTTCCCTTTATTTCTTATGGGGAAATTAACTTCGGAATGCGAATTTTCGGAATGCGAGGCGTCTCCAGGAACGGATTAAACTCGTATTCTGAGGTATGCCTGTATATACAGTGGTACCTCGGTTTAAGAGTTTAATCTGTTCCTGGAGACAGCTCGTATTCCGAAGCTAATTTCCCCATAAGAAATAATGGGAAATGAATTAATCCGTTCCTGACTACCCCAAAAACCCCACTTCAAACTAAATTTTATACCTAATTCATCTAAATAAACCTACAAAACTATGTTCAAGTTATTACTTGCTGTTGGCGTATGGAAGATGGTGAGGAGGGAGGAGAAGAGGTGTTACTGTTTGGAAGGGGAGTCTCCTTCCATTATAACATCAGGCAGTAAGGACTTCACTGGTGTGCACACT